CCGGGTTCGCAGCTGGATGCAACGTATATGGCCGCAATGCTTCGTCTACTCCCAACCATGCTCCAGTTCACCAACTCATCAAGTTCACTGTCCAGTTTGACCAATCACAAACTTCCGACTAGTAGTATCAGCACAAATGCCACCACCAACCTGTCCAATTTTTCACCGACGGAACAACCGTCGTCCTACCTTCCCGATCCATTCAGTCATTCAGAGCCAGATAGCGGTCATCCAGTCCTCCTGGGTCCGCNGCAATGGACCCTCCCAAACTGGACGCTGGTTTTGGATTTTCCAATTCCGCGTCCACGACAGTGAATGAAGATTACGAGTTCGCACCGTCTGAAATGTCAAACGTGGACTGGAAACCGGAATCCACCGGATGGTCGACCTTCAAGACAACAGAAGCACCACCGGCACATCTGACCTCCGCACAGTATAGTCCAACTCTCAATGAAGCCGCTGCAAAGCTTCTAGATGTCCGATTGCTGACACAGGTAAGGGTTTTGTGGAAAACACGATCTCTTTTCTCATAAAGATCACGTATTTGATGCGTTAATTTAAGTAACTCACACATGTTATGCTGTCCAGTTCTACCTGCATAAGAACACACACGCAAACATGGCCATCGGATTGTTTGTGATCAACGCGGCTTTGATTTGCCGACAAGTTACCGGCTAAGCACGACCAATGCACAAGATCTCACGGGTTTCATTGTGCACAACAATCTTGGAATTTTCCACTAGATATTGTGGGATCTGGCGCGCGCGCGTGTGTGTGCCTATGTTTTATCCGTAGCTGTGACGCAATTAGCCCAGGCGAACCACTATTCTTCATAACTCCGAAGATCGCAACAGACATTCGGGTGCGTCGCGAAGCAGTTTGAGATTTATAATCAAACCAAACTATGTACGTGCATCGTTTGCATGGAGACGTGGAACAACGCATTTCGAGTGTATTATTTCAACTTCCTATGGCATATCTGTTTCGATTTGGCATGCTCCCATTTCATTTTCAGATGATGTATCATCAAGTTAAGATAATCCAATGCTATTCCGGAGTGAACTAAGGAAGTCCCAGTATTCATTTGTTGTCCATTGAAGCACCAGAACATCTTGATCTGACAGCCAGACATCTAAAGTTGATGCCGGGACATCGCAACTTTAGAGAAGTTAAGGGTAGAAAGACTGTGTCGCTTTGGAAGACCAAAGTCATGACTAGCAGCGTCTTCCGTGAGCTACTAGTTTGGGTGGACTTCCTACTCCGCATTCACACAACTATCGTTAGACCGGCCACGTTCGTCATCTCATTGGGCTCGCTTTGTCAGCACACACTTTTCTTCTCCATAGCGAGTACTGCACGTACCGAATGGACCGCGCAGTGGGACTTTCTTGCCTGGTTATCCTTGTTTCAGATGGAACCTGGAATACTAAAACTCAACTGATTCACTCGTACACCAATGAAAAATTAGACAGTTGCATTTTTGCTGTGACTAAGTCACACTCAAACGCATACAGTTCAACCAATTAACTAGTAATTACTCATCCTCCTGTCCGGTATAATAAAATTATTTGCCCATTATTCTTTGACTGACACAGCCATTCACCGGACGAGTCTGAATATCAGGAAAAATGCTTTCAATTTGCCACGCCAAATGGATCTTGTGATTTTTCTCACACAATAATTAACTCGTGCTTGAAAAGTGCCCAAAATCTAGATTGGAATGAACAAGTTAGGTTTACGGATTACAATCTCGGATAGTCGATGGACACGGATCTCGGCCCGAACACCTGTCCACTGGCCAGCAAAATATGGGGTGCGCGCGTGGAGCAAGGACAGTATACACCGCGGTCACTTACGTCCGAACTGGAGTTTTGGTAGAACACTTGTTTCTCACTTCACAATCAAATCATTTATACGACCTTCATTATCTATTTCAGGATGACGTAACGTTCTTCAGGCACAATATGGATTTGTCCCGTGAGGCGATCAAGTACGCCAAAGGTGTGGCCCGATTGATTATGAAAAAAGCCGAATTATTGGAAACGCAACTCAGCTTCCCGACAAATGGAATTTATTTGAATCCAGTGAATCTCTCTTGATGCAGGTATTTTGGAGGAGAGCACGCACCGTTTCCCGGCATCTGTCCGACCTTGTTGAGCGTTGACATATTACGCGGTTGTAAAGTGAACGCTTCAACGCAATCCAAGACCCCAACCACTTGTGATCTTCCCGCCCGCCAATTGCCAACAATCTGATGTGAATATAAACTGATTGCAAAGAAACACTCCCTTATTTGTCTGCGTTTATGTGTTCGTGTGTGTGTGTGTGTGTGTGTGTGTGTGTGCGTGTGTATGTACGTTTCCAGCAAACTGTGATCCTCCACTACAACTACTACTGGCACGTCTCATTCCTCAGCACACATGCACACAGATCCACATCGTGCTCCCCCCTCCCCCCCGCCCCCAATCCGTTTACGAATGCATCCATCTTGTACCAGTTCTGTCTCAATCTTCTGATACTCTCCTCGTTCTTCGTTCCCTTCTGTCACCCCCATCATCAACTCAGTCACTCCCCCCTCTGTTCTCTCGCTCTCTCTCTCTCTCTGCAAATCTTGTTCCTGGCAAATGAATGTGTGATAGGGTCTGCAGGGTTACTTCATACTAATACATCGTTGGAAATCAGTACTCCATGCTTTAATCGTTGTTTTGTTTCAGCCGGTGCCTCGTTCAGTAACACGATCAGTTCCAGCTGCATTGTAGCACCGAGGGAGTGCAGCGTCCTTTTGCCTACTTGTACCCTCGGAGTCATGGATGCTCCTCTGCTCTCGCTGGGCGTACTACAGTGCTCCCTTGTGCTCGCGATATTTCACATATTCTTGTGTTGCACTTTACTGTCTTCCCGTTGAGCGTATTGTCTAAGACATACTGATAACCTTTCTTCCTTACTGAAGGGGACGGTGTACACGTCGTTAGAAGAAAGTAGGGACAAATAGTCCCCCCCCGGGGGGTAACAATGCAAGTCGTTCTATGCTTTTGTAGTACAGAACAATCTCGTTATTCTCTCATCGACATTCATTAAGAATAGATCATTTAATCCGATCCAATTGCTTGTACAGTAACCGTCATGAGGATCGAGAGCGAGAGAGTAAAGACATTGGGGAAAATCATTGTATACAGTATGCAAAATAACAGCGAGAACATTTGTATCACTTTAGACATAATGGACATCGGTGAGAACATTCCAATATAAACAAAATTAGAAGACGAATCACACAAAGTCACGAAGCTCTTCAGGAAGAAAGCGGAACAAGTTGAAGTAAGGAACTTTGCGTAGCTATCATGGGGTATGTGTGATATTGCACCGAGTGAGAACAATATCGCATGCAACCGAGTTGAACCGGAGTTTCTGTGAAGAATGAGCGGGTTCAGAACACACGTACAGATGAAATGATACCCCGGGGACGCGGATCGTCGCTGATCAATTGAACGTGCCAACTCAACAACACTTGACTTTATCATGGTTGGTAGGATTGCATGAAGACCCAGTAGGATATGATATGGATAAGAAGGAGATGAATATAGTTCTCCCCACTTCGGAAACAAACACGGTCAGGACTGACCGAATCGGTTCACTTCGCTAGTGGGGATTTTCACAACACATAGAACGAAAATGCGATTGAATCACCAAGGGCCAGTCGGCAGCACTCATTAACCCTCCAATGTAATCCGACAATTGCTACCTATGCAAATAAAAAGAATACGAGCATCCAACTTTAAGTGACAATTCATGTAATTACAATGGAGTCCGGGGGGTGATTTGGTGTCGTCCATTTGGCTGTCACTCGTGTATACAGTCGAAGCTTCTTTGGCCATAAATTCTACGCATCACTCTAGAGTAAATTTCCGCATCGAAACAGCTCTTCTCTACGTTTTGCTCTCTTTCTGAGGCCGGTGCCTCTGCGGTTTTCATACATCTAGTGTTTTCTTCGTTTATAAAATTGTTAAATGGTTTCTAGGAGTAGACTCAAAGGTGGCAAAAAGGAAATGAATCGATATTCGTTCAAGGAGCATCTGGCGATTTAGGCTCTTCTATCACGGTGTTAATAATGAACCCGGGATAGCGACATTGTTCCGAATCCGGACACATGTATTTTCCAAAGATTCTCTGCCCTCAACGGTCACTCTGATACCCGGATTACCGAAATTTGTCGAATGGATCACCTCTCACAGCTACAAAGCTTGCTCAAGTGGGTTTAAAATAAAAAGCATCGTTATCACAGTGTGGATTCTTGTGTGCGCACAACACAGGAACGCCTTCCGGTACATTCAACAGTTTTGTACTTGAAACTTCTTAACGGTATCATCGTGCAAAACAGTCTTGAGTCTTTATCAAAGGAAATCGACTGTTCGTATCAGAACCTATGTACTTCAATCCACCTGCCTCCTCTAAGGTTCTTTTTGGCATAAGTAATCCAGCTGAAAGCTAGCTAGAGATGATGAAACGCTAAGGTGTAGCCTCGTAGTTCAGCTGATAGAGCAGGCGCTGTACAAAAGCGTAGGCGGCATCCATGCGTGGGTTTGAATCCCACCGAGGTTACTGAACTTTTCACAATCGACATACAAACTTCAAATCTGCCAAACGATAATTTGAGCATAAGGATCACTTTGGATCAGGGTTAAATACGATTACATAGAATAAAATCCTAATCTGCTATAAAACTGATCATTAGCTTCACGAAAGACTCCTGATCTGTAGTCAAGGAGCTTAGAAGTCTGTTTGTCATTTTTGCAGTTACAATAATAACTCCTCTATTCTACTGCCAGACGCAGCGAGAAACCATTAATCGCCTCTTTGTGCGCGCACCAAAGACAAGTCGCGAATGCGAGTGGTGTCTTGCAACGGTAGTATGACACTATTCGCACCTAGCACTGTTGTTCAGGCAAACAAGATGTGAACTCAAAACTTTTCAGAAAACACCAGTTTTGCATTTGAATCCACTGGCACCTTTTGGAATAGGAATTCAATGACTTTCATGAAACCACTGGATTCCTTACACAAGTGCAGTATTCGATAACCGTCACCACAAGAGTCTTTGAGAGTTGTCTTTAATAAAGAGGAAACACGATAGTGTCTCTCGTTGGTTCGGTCGGAGGTATGCAACCAAACGAGCGTGTTCGCTCGAAAACGAGCTTGATGTTGGAAGATTTCACTGGGCACAAGGGCATTACGACTGGTGTCAATCACTGTGAAACAAAATGCCATTAATAGAAAGCGCTGAGCAAACACCCAGATAGCACGACGTAGCGCATCGATCGGCTCCAAAGAGCTACGTTTGAGGTATATCAGTTACATTTAATAATAAACAGTAATGAACCTTTAAAAGGCATCTAACGTAACTCTTTTTTGGTTTAAAGACTTACTTTTATAATTAATTTCATCAAATAACTCTTATGGTTGGTGTTTGAATGCGTTCTGCTAAGTGCGCAAAATGCGCTGAAGTCCTTGACGAGGTAGTAAGCAAATCCATGCAAAAATATGGGGTTTATAGGAGTTTATAGACTGGACAAGGTGGGAAACTAAAAAAAAGGGTGTTCTGTAATGTAGCTTAAATGTAGCCTGCTATTAGCAAGCTATTGGCCGACTAATGGTTTACAAAAGCGCTACAACTTTGTTGGCGTAACTCATTTGTCGCTCAGAGGTAGCCGGCTATTAGTGCGCTCTTAGCCGATGTGCCACCTGGGCAGCGTTCATAATTATGAATCAGTGTGATTGACTGTAAACGTGCTATATTTAGATAACTTAGAGCAGATAATACCTAAAGAAAGAGATTGAAAATCTGTAGACAAGCGTGTATCAACGGGTATATAGTGTGCGTGTGTGCGTGAAGCAATCACGTCTTTTTCCGTAAAGAGCATCGCAAGGAAAGTGCCAAAAGTGCGCGTATGTTGATCTCGTGATAAGCTTCGGGGCGGACGTTACCATCCGTCACCCCCTCCTGAATCGCTTATTCCTGGTTCAGAGCCAACCTGGCTGCTTTAAACGTTTGGAATATTTTTTTGTGCTATTTTTCATGTATATTTTTATGTGCATTACAACGAAATAAAGAAGTGTATTTCTGGTTTATTTGTTTTAATCGGTGACCTTGAAACATGTCGGACGGTTCCAAGATGTATCGACTGTTGCACCAAATTCAGGGCGGAGCGTGTGTGGAGTATATGCAAAACNAAACCGGCATTTATTGCCGAGAGAACGTACCTGTGATTGCGGCCACTCGATGAACTTACAGGAGTTTACACGCAGCCAGGACGGGTTGGCTTTTCGGTGTACACGTTGTAAAAAAACAACTTCTCTCCGGACGGGAACCTTTTTTGAGAAATCCCGCCTTGCATTGCCGATTTTGATGGAGTTAATGTTCTATTTTGTGATGGAAATACCTGTTACTTGTGCTGCTGCGATGGCAGTGTGTCACGCAAAAGTGCAATTCAGTGGTACACATACTGCAGAGATGTATGTTCGGCAGTAATGTGTTCGTTCTCCACACAATTGGGTGGTGTTGGTTCCATCGTGGAGGTTGATGAAAGTGTGGCAGTTAAAAGTAAGTACGGTCGAGGACGTCCGAAATCAACCGTGTGGATGTTCGGAATGTACGATCGTAATCTGAAGAAGGGTTATTTTCAGAGAGTTGAAAACCGATCTGCTGAGGTTCTGTTGCCAATTATTCAACGGTGGGTACAACCAGGAACCACGGTGTACACGGATCAATGGTCCGCATATCGGTCTTTGTGTTCAATTGGTTACATTCAAATGTGCGTAAATCATACTGAAGGATTTGTGAACCCAATAACTGGTGTCCATACGAATAATGTGGAATCCTTCTGGAGCCACATAAAAAAACGTTTGAAAAATGTCTGCGGATCAGTTGGTGATGTTGTTTGGGATCATTTGGATGAAGTACAGTATCGTATGTGGTTTCATTTCTCAGTCAATAATTTTGACAATGATATTGACACTTATTTACAACACGTTGCACAGTTATATCCTGTTTAAATGACATTTATCATTATTATATACAATTTTTCATTAACTATTTACACTTTTT